GAAAAGAGGAAACACGTCTCCCTGTCTTATCATTTCTTTCCTGTATTACAGGTTAGTGTTGAACAAGAAAACCCCACAAAACTGCTAGAGTCAATAAGCAAATGTTGAGTTATGATTCAAGGGTGAGTGGTAGAGTGAAGCTAGGGGAAAATGGTTCTGTGTATTCGTGGAAAGTAAGCTAATGCCCACCGAGAGCGATAGTAATGGCGGTGGTACACTCGATCATTCTCTTAAATAGCATGCTAGCTACAAGATACTAAGTGGGCCACATGTCTCCTCTTAAATTCACAGGTCATCTGGCTCCGTGTTTAGTCTGTTTTGTTAACTTGCTAGAAGGTGTTGTTTTTTTTCCAATGATTTGGTTACTGACACAATTGCTTATAAGTCCAAGTCTTGCTTGATAGTAAATTTATGTTAGTGCATTGAGAGTGCAATTATAGTCAAACTATACTCAAAAAGTTAACCATAGAGAAACAGTTTTGGACCAACTAGTGACATGAAGTTGTACTGTGTGTATTGACTTGTGTGGCTATGAAAAGCCAAGAAACCTGTATAAAGATACAGCTAAAGCACAGTAGTTATGATACTGGAAAAAGAGACAATGCACCGTGTTCAGTGAACTGATGATGTTTGTGAATAAATAATGGCGGAGAACATTGAAAAGAGGAAACACGTCTCCCTGTCTTATGTTTTCTTTCCTGTATTACAGGATACATACATCTGCCTACAGGTGTTAGATTCTGATACCTGTAACACCTGTAGTTTTTTCAGCTGCCTCTAGAGCTCATATCCTTTTCAGCTTAACTTCTGAAGATCACACCACACGTCACCATTTTCAAGGTGTTTTTAGCAGACATAGACATCAGCCAGACGACAGCTTCAGCAGTGCATTACAACAACATAATCACAGTGAAATCTGCACAAAGAGAGAAAGATGAAGATGATCTGTCTGCTTTTGGCCGCTATTTGCAGCCCCGTATTTACTGAAGACTGGAAGGCTAATGTCGTAAAAGAACTTGACGCCCTGGTTACATCATGTGTTGCGATACCCTGTTCATTCACCTATCCTAAAGATAATCTGCCCAGCTCCAAACTCAGAGGGATTTGGCATCTTTCAGATCCTCCAACTAGCCTGGTGTATCATGAGGATCAGACAAGGGTCTTGGACAACTTTAAAGGTCGCACACATTTGTTGGGAACCCTGGGTCAGAACAACTGCACCTTAGAAATGGCAAAAGTTAAAGATCATGACAGTGGACCTTTCTGTTTCCAGATTGAACTAGCAAAGACAAATGAACCCACCCGTGACAAGTTCTCCTTTGTTGAGGATTGTGTCACCTTGAAAATGCTCCGTATGTCACCTACTAGCAGAGATTTCATAAATCTATACCAGTTTTCTAAGCTGCAGTGGATTTTGTCTTACTTTATTGCTGGCTTTTTCATTTACAGATGAACCTCCAACTCCTACACTGACTAAACCAGACACAGCCACTGTGGGACGTTCCTACACTGTCACCTGTTCAGTCAAACACACCTGTTCCTCACATCAGCCTACACTCACATGGAGTAGAAGCACCGATGTGGACGTTAAGTCCTACAGAGAAATTCATTCTGGGAACTGGGAGGTACAATCCATCCTGACGTTCACTCCTGAGGAGAAGGATGACCACGAAGACATCACATGCACAGCCACATTTAATGGAATGAAGACATCCACTGCAAAATTTACACTCTATGTAAAACGTGAGATCTTTACTCTGTTGTTGAATTTTGAGGGTGCCCTTTATTTTGAAGTTTATATTCTGGATATTGTCTACTTTGGACCTGTGCAACATATAGGAAGAATGATTTTGATATCAATTCTTTGTGTGTACAGGTACACAAAACTTCAACCACATCATTATTCCCACTGCAGTAGGGATTGGCATCACTGTTATCTTTGGAGTCGTCTGCATTTTCATGTTGAAAAAATACAAGTGAGTAAAGCAAAACACCAAAATCAGTGGATCAGTAGAGCACATCAGATAATAACATCGCTGAGTAAAATAAATAGAATAAAAATTATGAGACGTGCTGTGACAGTGACTGAGATTTACAATTCTGTGCCAGTCAGATGTAGAGGCACAACAGTTTGCACAATACAAAGTACACACAAAAATGACGGTCTTCTGTTTCTGTAACCTGTTGCACCTGTTTATTTTTGGAGAAGTACAAATTTGCCCTTCACTTTTAGCTGGAGGTTTGTTAAAAAACAAAAAAAAAGGAGTGAGAGAACTTTAATGTTTTATTATAATGTTTTACTTTTATTGCAATGTAATTTTTCTTTAATGAAAAGTTATAAAATATTACAAAAAGTTACATATGCTATCAGTTATGGTTTTTGGAAAGGAAGAATACCACAATGGGCCAAAATCAGAATAGTCAGGTTAGACATTAAAAGAAAAAGAAAAAATACTGAATTGACCCAGAACCCACAGAGAACATGCAAACTCCAGGCAGACAGGCATTGGGTCAGCTAAGGCTCAAACCCCAAACCTTCTTGCCACCTATTATTATTATTATTCTTATTATTATTATTATTATTATTATTATTATGTTTCACAAGGCAATGGGTGCAGCACTTTCCTGTTACATTTTTAACCCATTTGTGTCCAGTATGTGATCCTCAATAAAACACCATTGTTTTCTGTCTGCTTAGGGGACGCATTGCAGAGTTACAAAGTCGGGATGGCAGGTAAAAATGTTACAAAGCAGATTTAGTTCATACTGCTACACTGATATCAGTCATTTTTATCATAATGTAATTCATCATAATGTAATTTCTCAAAAATTATTAGCATGTGGAACCGGCTGTCCAGGATGTCTCGCAGGTGAGAAAGAAACAGTTTGATTCTTTTTCCTTCTTCATCCTGGAGAGTAACTTGGTAACTTTTAATTTTCTACAATGTATAATTTAATCTGTGAAATTTTCAGAGTTCGTTCTGGTGGTCCAGGACGTTCTCATTCTGATCAAAGGTAAGACTCTTTATCTCTCTAAATGATAGTTGTACCTTTATTGACCAGTTCTGGACTGTCCTCACTGCAGCTGTATATACTGTAAATCACTAAATGCTTCCCTCTAATTTGCATGATTGGTGTGGTGCATGTTTTTGCCATTTTTGATAAGATCTATGTTTTTTATTTATATGCCCCACACAGCAGTTACATAGTTTCTGTTCTTCTTTTTTGTGCTCAGAAGGTCTATTTGGAGCAGATTTTCAAGCCAAGACATGACACCATGACAGACAACCACACACATACACACACTCAGTCCTAGGGGAAATTTAGTCGCCAATCAAAAGCTGCATGTCTCTGGACTGTGGGAGGAAGTCAGAGTACCCAGAGAGAACCCACACAGGCACAGGGAGGACATGCATACTCCACACAGAAAGGCATCAAGTCAGCTGGGGCTCAAACCTGGAACCTTCTAGCTGTGAGGCAACAGCACTAACCACTGCTTCACCATGCCACCTCATCCAAAAGTTGCCTAAGGAGGTTCAGTGCTAAAATGTTGCCTCAGTAGGTTTTTCTCCTCACCTGACCTCTGATACATTTTGGCAGGAAGTAGAATCATTTCAAGATGCCACAGGAAACCAGTGCTTTCAGGATTTAGCTTTTGGTGGAGTTAGACTACTTACTCTCCCCGTATCCAACACACCTGCTGAAAGGGCATTTTCTTAAGTCATACTGCTTAAAAAAGACAAACTGAATAGGGTTGCTACTCCTTTCAAGTTTGATGGATGTGCGCTCAGGGCTGACAGGGAATGCATGGACATTGGCTCCACAGCTTCTGGGAGTTTTGACTTCTCCATGTAGTCGACAGCTAGATAGTTCTACAAAGTTAGGTTCAGATGTTCAGCTGTGTTCTTCAGCAGCCAAAGAGTGATGCAACCAACAGCAACACAATTTCACCTGTGTGCCTGGTATAAAATCTAAAAGTTAATGATTACTGTGTATTTCACTAATTATCTTAAATGTTCATAGCTACACTGTAAAACAAGGCATTGCACTGGACACACTGCTTGTGTGGGTGCGCTCTTAATGCGCACCCTCCCCCACTTCCTATTGTATACATTTTTTAACCGACAGTTGTGTCTCATCGTTGTTTTGTAGCTGGGGTAACATGCACTAACTTGGCCCTACTAGTTCTCTTTAACTTGGGAGTAGATGATCCAGCAGAACTGAATGAATGAATGACACTTTCTTAGTGGTATTGTAGCTGGCCTCTTTATGTATGCTTCTGCTGCTGGTATACAGTGCTTTTAAGCATGGTTGCAGTATAAATCTGTAATGTAATCATGGCAGTTACAATACACAAATAAACATTAAGCATATTTTTTGGGAGGTTTTATGTGTGTTTTGTTTTTTCAGCAGTATTCAGTGTGGAAATTATCATCTGTATCTGGCAACACTGGTTCCAACTGCACTATATTAAAAGTTCAGAGAGGCTCTGCCCTTTGCTTGCTGTGTTTCTGGAGAAATTATACAGTAGGTACAAGAAAAGCCTTAGGTACAAGAAAAGCCTCAGTATCCAGGCTAACAAATAAGAATGGAGTCACAGGAGGCTGACAGTTTCTCCCTCTTATACATTTTTGCTGATTTTGCTGAATATGTTCTGGCTGCACTGTATGATTACTTATACTCTATGTGATTGCATGCTTATCATGGCTAACTCACAAAATATTGCCCACAGAGTTCTTTGAAAACATAATTTCTGATTGTCACACAACAGGATTAATTCTTCTGTGCCTTCATGAAAATGGTTTCTGGTATCACGCACTCTATTATTAACACTACTGCTACTGCATCTTTTACACATAATAAAAAAAATGCTTTCTAAATGTTGCCTGCAGTTTTTTCAGCTGCCTCTAGAGCTCATATCCTTTTCAGCTTAACTTCTGAAGATCACACCACACGTCACCATTTTCAAGGTGTTTTTAGCAGACATAGACATCAGCCAGACGACAGCTTCAGCAGGTAAGACTGGAGTACTTTAATATTCTGATAACAGCATACAGTATTCAGAGACCGTGGCTTTAGTACATTTCTAAGCATTTAATTTTGAAAGTTTTTAAAATACTGCTGGGCTCAAAAAGCCGTTTATAAATTGTTGATGTTTGCAATAACCAGTGGGGTTTTTTTCTTCACTGTTATTTAAGGTTTGTCAGTGTTTTTATTCTTATGTCTGTGAGACTATTTTGCTTACTTTGTAAAAATTGACATGACAATGAAAATAAAAAAGAACATGTAATTCATATGGGTAGGGAACTATTTTTACTTTTGGTGACAAAATGTATGATTAATTTATTATGCCTATTTTATGTATTAGGACTTTAAGAGTACCAGTATTTGCCGCATAAAGAAATTGGTCTTGTATGTGAAGATTAGTGCTGTTTGAAGAAGTTCTACTTTCACAGCTGGGTTGTAATTTGCATGTGGCAGTGATAAGTAACTCCTCTAACTACTTTTCCTCTCCTTTCATTTCATTGAAACTTCTCACAGTGCATTACAACAACATAATCACAGTAACACGATCAGTGACCTTACTGTTTCAAATCTCATTCCTACCTACACTGTATTTAGCAAAACAAAAAAACTATCTGACCCTTAGACATGGCTTCTTTCTCTGTCACTCCCTTTTATTTCTTCCAGCTATTTGCAGCCCCGTATTTACTGAAGACTGGAAGGCTAAAGTCGTACCAGAACTTGATGCCCTAGTTACATCATGTGTTGCGATACCCTGTTCATTCACCTATCCTAAAGATAATCTGCCCAGCTCCAAACTCAGAGGGATTTGGCATCTTTCAGATCCTCCAACTAGCCTGGTGTATCATGAGGATCAGACAAGGGTCTTGGACAACTTTAAAGGTCGCACACGTTTGTTGGGAACCCTGGGTCAGAACAACTGCACCTTAGAAATGACAGAAGTTAAAGATCATGACAGTGGACCTTTCTGTTTCCGGATTGAACTAGCAAAGACAAATGAACCCACCCGTGACAAGTTCTCCTTTGTTGAGGATTGTGTCACCTTGAAAATGCTCCGTATGTCACCTACTAGCAGAGATTTCATAAATCTATACCAGTTTTCTAAGCTGCAGTGGATTTTGTCTTACTTTATTGCTGGCTTTTTCATTTACAGATGAACCTCCAACTCCTACACTGACTAAACCAGACACAGCCACTGTGGGACGTTCCTACACTGTCACCTGTTCAGTCAAACACACCTGTTCCTCACATCAGCCTACACTCACATGGAGTAGAAGCACCGATGTGGACGTTAAGTCCTACAGAGAAATTCATTCTGGGAACTGGGAGGTACAATCCACCCTGACGTTCACTCCTGAGGAGAAGGATGACCATGAAGACATCACATGCACAGCCACATTTAATGGAATGAAGACATCCACTGCAAAATTTACACTCTTTTCTTTCCTGTATTACAGGATACATACATCTGCCTACAGGTGTTAGATTCTGATACCTGTAACACCTGTAGTTTTTTCAGCTGCCTCTAGAGCTCATATCCTTTTCAGCTTAACTTCTGAAGATCACACCACACGTCACCATTTTCAAGGTGTTTTTAGCAGACATAGACATCAGCCAGACGACAGCTTCAGCAGTGCATTACAACAACATAATCACAGTGAAATCTGCACAAAGAGAGAAAGATGAAGATGATCTGTCTGCTTTTGGCCGCTATTTGCAGCCCCGTATTTACTGAAGACTGGAAGGCTAATGTCGTAAAAGAACTTGACGCCCTGGTTACATCATGTGTTGCGATACCCTGTTCATTCACCTATCCTAAAGATAATCTGCCCAGCTCCAAACTCAGAGGGATTTGGCATCTTTCAGATCCTCCAACTAGCCTGGTGTATCATGAGGATCAGACAAGGGTCTTGGACAACTTTAAAGGTCGCACACATTTGTTGGGAACCCTGGGTCAGAACAACTGCACCTTAGAAATGGCAAAAGTTAAAGATCATGACAGTGGACCTTTCTGTTTCCAGATTGAACTAGCAAAGACAAATGAACCCACCCGTGACAAGTTCTCCTTTGTTGAGGATTGTGTCACCTTGAAAATGCTCCGTATGTCACCTACTAGCAGAGATTTCATAAATCTATACCAGTTTTCTAAGCTGCAGTGGATTTTGTCTTACTTTATTGCTGGCTTTTTCATTTACAGATGAACCTCCAACTCCTACACTGACTAAACCAGACACAGCCACTGTGGGACGTTCCTACACTGTCACCTGTTCAGTCAAACACACCTGTTCCTCACATCAGCCTACACTCACATGGAGTAGAAGCACCGATGTGGACGTTAAGTCCTACAGAGAAATTCATTCTGGGAACTGGGAGGTACAATCCATCCTGACGTTCACTCCTGAGGAGAAGGATGACCACGAAGACATCACATGCACAGCCACATTTAATGGAATGAAGACATCCACTGCAAAATTTACACTCTATGTAAAACGTGAGATCTTTACTCTGTTGTTGAATTTTGAGGGTGCCCTTTATTTTGAAGTTTATATTCTGGATATTGTCTACTTTGGACCTGTGCAACATATAGGAAGAATGATTTTGATATCAATTCTTTGTGTGTACAGGTACACAAAACTTCAACCACATCATTATTCCCACTGCAGTAGGGATTGGCATCACTGTTATCTTTGGAGTCGTCTGCATTTTCATGTTGAAAAAATACAAGTGAGTAAAGCAAAACACCAAAATCAGTGGATCAGTAGAGCACATCAGATAATAACATCGCTGAGTAAAATAAATAGAATAAAAATTATGAGACGTGCTGTGACAGTGACTGAGATTTACAATTCTGTGCCAGTCAGATGTAGAGGCACAACAGTTTGCACAATACAAAGTACACACAAAAATGACGGTCTTCTGTTTCTGTAACCTGTTGCACCTGTTTATTTTTGGAGAAGTACAAATTTGCCCTTCACTTTTAGCTGGAGGTTTGTTAAAAAACAAAAAAAAAGGAGTGAGAGAACTTTAATGTTTTATTATAATGTTTTACTTTTATTGCAATGTAATTTTTCTTTAATGAAAAGTTATAAAATATTACAAAAAGTTACATATGCTATCAGTTATGGTTTTTGGAAAGGAAGAATACCACAATGGGCCAAAATCAGAATAGTCAGGTTAGACATTAAAAGAAAAAGAAAAAATACTGAATTGACCCAGAACCCACAGAGAACATGCAAACTCCAGGCAGACAGGCATTGGGTCAGCTAAGGCTCAAACCCCAAACCTTCTTGCCACCTATTATTATTATTATTCTTATTATTATTATTATTATTATTATTATTATGTTTCACAAGGCAATGGGTGCAGCACTTTCCTGTTACATTTTTAACCCATTTGTGTCCAGTATGTGATCCTCAATAAAACACCATTGTTTTCTGTCTGCTTAGGGGACGCATTGCAGAGTTACAAAGTCGGGATGGCAGGTAAAAATGTTACAAAGCAGATTTAGTTCATACTGCTACACTGATATCAGTCATTTTTATCATAATGTAATTCATCATAATGTAATTTCTCAAAAATTATTAGCATGTGGAACCGGCTGTCCAGGATGTCTCGCAGGTGAGAAAGAAACAGTTTGATTCTTTTTCCTTCTTCATCCTGGAGAGTAACTTGGTAACTTTTAATTTTCTACAATGTATAATTTAATCTGTGAAATTTTCAGAGTTCGTTCTGGTGGTCCAGGACGTTCTCATTCTGATCAAAGGTAAGACTCTTTATCTCTCTAAATGATAGTTATACCTTTATTGACCAGTTCTGGACTGTCCTCACTGCAGCTGTATATACTGTAAATCACTAAATGCTTCCCTCTAATTTGCATGATTGGTGTGGTGCATGTTTTTGCCATTTTTGATAAGATCTATGTTTTTTATTTATATGCCTCACACAACATTTGCATAGTTTCTGTTCTTCTTTTTTGTGCTCTATTTGGAGCAGATTTTCAAGGTAAAACATAACACCATGACAGCCTCCACACCACACGCAAAGGGATTTTTTGTCACTTGGTTGTTTCCATCATTCAGCTACACTTCACATTTTCCATGATAAAATCGAATGTAACCTTGGAGAATTCTCTCATCTCTCAATGTTGGCATGAAATGTTAACGATTTATGTTACATTATATTTCTTACTCGTACAAAAGGCCTAGGAGGGACATGGAGAATGTCGTTCATATATAAGTGTGTTATACATAAAAAAGTTAAATAGCTAATTGTTGCTTTCCCAACTACATAGTATCATAAATTTAATCCACAGGCCCAAAAATGGGATTTCACAATCCTATGCTGAAGAGAAAGTCCCCAAGCCTCGCTTCCCATCCCCCAAAAGGTACTGGGCTTATTTCTCCTAAATGTGAACAGGTGTTAAACATAGATCTCATATACTGCAGTACAGCAATGTCTTATGTGATTCTTTTTTTCTGTGTTCCTGTTACTGCTATTGTTTTTAATGGACCTCAGCCAGCCGAAATCTTGCAATTATAAAGCGGTATTGTAAATTTTTTTATTTATTTCCAAGAATTATACATGGTAAACTGCCACTATCAACTGTGACAATAATGACAATAATCTCTCACAGGACCCCGATGACGGTGACGATTACGTAAACACTGCAGATCTCAACATCTACGGAAACCTCTGAAAAAAGGAAATTTATTTCCAAAGAATGAGTTTGTGATCAAAGCAAATAACAAATCTAACCACACTCATAATGATCAAAGCAAATCTGGCCATTGCAAATTTGTTATGCATTGGCACTGTAGTAATGTCTTCTATCAAGCAAAATATAATAACATTAGTCATTTGATTATATTACACTGAATCAATGAAATTGTATTATACAATGTATTATAATGACCATTGACAGGCCTGCAACATGCCACAGTGAGACTCAATTAAATTAGTGGATGCAAAAGGCAATAACTAAAGAAAACAACGGATAAGAATTTAAATGCAGTAGTCTGACATTTTGAGAAATGCACTTAGGCACATTCTTGCTGATTGATACCACCCTAATATGTTCCTGTTAAATAAGAGGCTACGGCCATAAATTTAGCTTGACATAAAGACTGGAACAGATATCCTGGCCAAAGGTCATAACCATCTCCAACTAGTGCTTCAGAAGCTACATGCTCAGATATAATAAGAATCGGAATCAGCTTTATGGCCAGATGTGTTGCACACACAAGGAATTTGAGTCTGGTACAGCAGCTCTCAATGTGTATGTACATATCAACAAGCAAAGAAATGTGCATCAGGAAAAGAAAAAAAAGTAAGAGTAAGGTACTTATAAACAGATACATATACATATATATATA